GCTTCGCAGAAGGCGCTTAGACGGTTGGTGATGATCTTGATGGGGACCTAACCTACGTGAGATAGTAGCGAAATTTCCCTATAGTTGTTACAGTTGGACCGGTCACCCATCTTGTACAGCACGTTGATGGTTGCATCCTTCCACTCTCGCGGTNTCAATTTAACGTGGGAACCCAGGAGCATGTCGACGGTGGATCGCCCGGGCCGAAATCCGCACTGTTCCTCCGGGAGGATGTTATTGGCTTCGCAGAAGGCGCTTAGACGGTTGGTGATGATCTTGATGGGGACCTAACCTACGTGAGATAGTAGCGAAATTTCCCTATAGTTGTTACAGTTGGACCGGTCACCCATCTTGTACAGCACGTTGATGGTTGCATCCTTCCACTCTCGCGGTGTATCTCCTCCGTTCCACACCTTGACGAGGATGGTATGGAGGTGTCCCAGGACGAAGGGTTCGTCGTCATCGATCTTGAGCAACTCGGCGGGGAGGGAGTCATGGTCGGGTGCCTTCCAGTTCTTGAGGCCTTTCGTTACCCGTGCCACCTCCTCGAGTTCTGGCACATCTCCCAACCGTGGTGGGGGCCCAGGAAATCGAGATTTACTAGTTCCGCCGCGATTTCGGCGAAACGGTATATTGGACATAACTCGTCACCAACATGTCTTTGAAGCTAAAAGTAAGTTCATTCAAAAGCCCTGGTCCGTACCTTTCGAATGGTATGTATTTTGTTGAGTAAATACCCTGGATCCAAAGAAAAATCAATCAAGATGCCTGTGGGCGGGTCCTTGACAATTACCACTCTGTATACGTTACATTCGAACCGACATTCGAACCGACACATGTGAGATCTACGATAGACGATAGACTTACAAGAGCAGTGCTACTGAACATTGACTCATACTGGCTATGTGCTACCATTTCTATAACAACCTACATGGACCAATGGATGCAGGAACAAAGCTTAAGGTCAAATTCAGGACCGAGGACATAGGCCTTCGAGAACGTCGACGAAGACATTGGACGGTAGACGACGAAGACGACGAGTTCGAATGTGATTGCGGCTTCGAATGCGAAGACCGTGTTAATGTAGTCGCGGAATGTCCGTTGTACAAGGAGAGGGAAGTAAGTGTACGTGACTGAGCTGGGAAAAATAGATGGGACGTACAGGTAGATGTTTGAGGCATGGGATAGAGAGGAAAGGACGGTAGCTGTCCTGGGGCATAGGAGGTGGGTTGAAAAGGCGGGAAGGGATATCGTTAGGATAGACAGACTAGGGAAGACAATTTTGAGCAACCTTTGGCACAGTAGAAAGGAACGATTGGCCATCGGTGATCGGTCCTGTGGGAACAATGCTCCGTCCTCTCGAGGACGCGTGGCCAATGGTCTAACCGCTAAGGCATGCAAAACATAAGAGTACCCCCCCCCCCACCTCCGGTCACCCACCGTCTCTCCCATGCATATTCCAGCGTACATTGCACCGAGCGGCCGCAACAACTGGCCCTGGAGAAGGATAAAGCTTTGCGCGGTAGAAACCTCCGACGAAAGAAGATACCATAGACGTAGAAAACAACCATAGCGCCTGCCGAACTACATGCACTCGAACAGGCACTGTCCGCTCCGATGGAAAAAAAGAAAGTCGTACCGATAAGCGCCATTATCGCTGCGAAACAACATCCTTTCCTGCCATGGGTGTATCTATTCGAGGAGAAGAACAGCAGCAAGCACAGCAGCAATGCTCCACCAACCCACATAAACATCTAGATCATTCATGTATCCAACATGAAAAAAATAACACCCACAGCAGCAGCGCTCCTCCAACTTGTTGCTGTTGCCAGTGGATGGGTAATATGCTACTCTACCCGTGACAGACACTACGAAGAATGATGGTGATGCGCTTCAGGAGCTCGTCATAACCCCCACGCCGCGTTCGATCGCAGCTCCTACACTCCTCACACGCATCACGTCATGAAATATCCAGCGATGCGCTCAGCTGTGGCATCGAATTGCATGCAAGGCTTTAGACACTACAACAAAAAACATAAATTTCCCCCAAGCAAGTGTTCACGTGGTGTTGCTGTTGACAAGAGGAACGTACACGACGGACATAAGGCTTTGGGTAGTGAAGCTTTTGGAGATCGGCCCGGTATCCTTGACACGGTCCACCTGCGGGTTGCCCCCCACGACCAAAACATTTCCCCACGCGATGCAATAGTCCATGCAGCAGGGAACGGTGGAGGGCGGCGTTACACGATTGATACCAAAACGCCAGTCGAGGAAGGCGGGTGGGGGGGAGGGAGGTCGCTGTCATGCATGACGATTGCTGTATGGTCGAATAGTGATCCTCGCATTCCAACAAAGCCAGGACAGAGACAGTCGGACTTTCACCGGCGATAGCAAATGAGAGAGAGGGGGGAGTACTCATGTTACACACATGCCAACAATGCCGGGACGGATCGATATGCCGGGTTTTCGCTGGCCCAGCTCGGAGGGCGGGCAACACAAAAAAAAAAATCAGACCACATTAAAGGCCGCAACTGACACCGTAATCACAACAAGAGCAACGACGATGACGACGACCACCTATCTGTTGTTACCTGCACGAGCATCTGCGTCTCCGACGGGGGCCCGACTGGCACAACCATGCGCCCCCCGACCTTCAGCTGAGCGACGAGGTCCATGGGGATGCTCTCCGCCGCCGCACCGACGTGAATCGCGTCGTACGGACCGTTCTCGGGCCACCCTCTCCATCCGTCCGCGGTCTTGTTAGCGTCGCCGTCGTTGTCGTTATTGTTGTTGCACGCGGCGGGAGGACGGTCGGGAACACCGGAAAAGGGCAACAGCAGTAGTCAAATGAATGTCGCTGATACAGGTGACACCTAGCTGCTCCAACCCTGGAAGTGTGCTCCCAGCCATCACCCCCCGCCATTTGAGGTGCTTGGAGGACAGCATGGCCGATCGCTTTTGGCGGGCTACAGCGACAACCGACAACGGAGAGCGCTCAAGCACGTAAACGCGGCGACAGATAGTAGTAGTGCGCATGCAGAGTTCGTGGGGTATGTGTTGTGTTGTGCTTTCGTCCTATTTATTATGGCGACAGTCCCCCCATTTTTCGTGGTGAGACGAGTACTACACGTTTTCAGTGAATGTAGAGTACTACACTTTTCAGTGTATTTTTCGTACAACTACAACCATCCAGGGTCACACAGGAGGGGGTAAACACCAAAGTTTTTCTCGTCTTTTTACTATTTTCATGCCCCACCTTCCTCCTGCGGTGCGTGCTGAATTTTTATTTTTATCACGAGAAGGGTCCATCCGTCCCTTTCCCTCGTCAACGGTGCTAACGTCGAAGTTTGGTACTCACGAGAGCTTCTTCAGCTATATTTCGCTTTCACCCGCTAATTAGGCAAGTTTTTTACCACATGGGAGTTCGAACTCGCGACCTCTGCGATTAGCGGTTTGCGAGGACACCACTAGACCACCGGGGCGACCGGCATGTGGTCGATGGTTTGGTTGGCGAAAGAAGCACGCGGAGCCATGTTGACCCTTAAGTATCTACCGGTAGTTATGCACTGAGAGTTGGCCAAAATGGTGTACGTTTCTGGCCACTTCGACTCTCTCTCTCCGGAGACTGTTTTCGGGGCAACATGGTCATCCGCAAGCCGTGAAACAGACTCATGTTGGACCATCCTAAATATTGGCTGCGACCAAGGCTTCGGACAACCACAGCAGTGTGCGTTGTCAATAAAACGTCTAAAGCAAGCAGCAGCAGGTGCACAGGCGGTCGTTTCACAACAGAGCCAGTGGCCACACCGCGTGACAACACTAGTCCAATGCAAGCCTTGTCCACATATCCCACCCAGCTCGCTGCTGTTGCTGCCCTGCATGCTCCGCAAGTAATGAAAAAGTCACCTTCAAGACGACTCTCCCCGAGGATAGCATGGTGCTGTCGTCCTTGTCGAGGTTCGTTCTTGACAGTTCCACCAGTTGCTGGATGTAGTCCTTTACCACACAACAGCAACAAATGTTACAGAGGGGAGACGGTGGGGGTGCGGTATGGACGGGGGCATGGAGCGACAAACTAGTATCTCTCTGAGATACCGAAAGAGAGCCTACGTAGGGGTTCATCATCGCGCAGGTTCGCGAGAGTGTGTCTTCGCGCTCTACCTGCTGAGTTTAACTTCGTACAAGCCAAAACGAGTCGATCTCCGATCTGTAGCTTAAACGATCAAAAATGTTTGCTCCCGAGCACACACTCATGTTGCACACCGTGCGGGTGCCACGGGGCGATATTATTAGCGCGCACGTCTCCTGCGGGATCCAAAGCTGTTCTAGTAGCAGGAGAAAGAGGCTGCTGTCATCCGGCAGGGGTTTGACCCCTAGACATAGTGTACTTCGTACCAGAGGCTGTGCTCATCCACAAGGAATTTGACCACTAGACTTCTTCAGTTCTCTGTAAACTGTGGTTCCATGACATAACTAAGGGCTTGACCGAATCAAACACACGCTAGCTGTGCTGTTGCGCCACCTGCAGCCGACCCTACTATCATCAAGAATCAATCCTAAGAACATAAACCAAGCCAATCTCCCGAGGACAAAAAAACAATGCACCACGGGGACACTCCACAAAAAACTAACACGAACCACCCTACTGAGAGTGCTGTTACGCTGTCTCACCAGTCCGTACACCACCCCACTCGCTCCCACCATCCTAGACAAGGCTGCCGCGAGGTATCCGGAGCCGACGCCAACGTCGAGCACCCGACCCCCGTCCATCGGTATGGCCGGCGAGAGCACCTCCAGCGCGTGGGCGTGCATGTGCGGCGCGCTGATGGTGGCCCGGAAGCCGATCGGCTGAGGCCTGCGCCGACGGAAAAACGAACGTACAAAAGCAGATCGTAGCAATCAAGTAGAGGGCGGAGGATGTACGCGACCATGGCGGGAGGTCGTGTTGAGGAAGCATTGGTTCTTTTGTGTGTAGGCGGCAAAAGCAAAAGCAAGGGCACACAAACGTTCGAAACGGAAATACCACCGTTTGAGAACATCAACTCAAGCGCCATAATCCCGCGCTAAAGACACGCCAGGGACACGTCTAATATGGATGGGAAGGATGGAGAGTCACATCGTATATACGGCCTACAAGCCTCCAGCCCATCGTTAATCTCCCTCGCCCCACCCTCTTGCCTGTCCTCGTAGGCATCTTGAGGGGTGTAGAAGCCTCGATCGGTGGCCTCCATGGCCTTGACCACCCTTGCCGAGCGCACGAGGCTAGAGTCTGTCGTTGTTGTCCCACACGAAACGGCAACACGAACCGCACAGTAAGTGTATTTCATGTTACACACGCTTCCTGACAAACGGCGCCGGCGCGGCAGGGCGTGTCGGGGTTGCACATGGCTGGTGCCATGACAAGCTGGACTGTGGAAAAACAGAGAATTGCTGCTGCTGTACAGCGGCATGCCGGTTCTTGTCTGGGTGGTGGTGGATTTACCTCATTATCAACCCCGCTGGGCGCAAACCAGTCGTTTGACATCCTTCGAGAATCGGGGTCACACGACACGGCATACCATACTGCAAAACGCCACAACTTGCTTGCTTTTTGTGCTTCCCTTCCTCTCTCTCTCTCTCTTTCTCACCGACGAGGTTCTTGACGAGTTCCGCGTTCGTGCTCCCAGAGCATCGCCACGCGCCTGACGACGGGAACCGTACCAGCGCGCACGCGCACAAGATAGGGGAAGCCTTCGGGCTCAAACAAGTTAACACGATGTGGCTGAGACTCGTGTGTCGTTCGTTGGTCCTGCTTGTGATGTACGAACGAGCAAAGGGCGCGGACTCTGGCCCCGGTGAAGATAAGAGCAAACAAGAGCAGCGCTACGATCAACACGGCGACGTTCCGGAGCGCAAGACCGGTTTACATCATCGATGTATGGATACGAGGTGAACTTGCATTGCTGCCGCTACCGCTGCATGTCTTGCCGGGTGCGCTTTCGACTTTGTCGGCATGCTCAACACGCGGACCGTCGACAGGTAGTTGCCGAGAGAGGAATAGCGAGGCGCCACACAACCCCGAAACACGGAGCACACCCCGAAACGTGGGATTTTTCGATGCTCCCTAAATAACCAAAATACACACAACGCGTAGACTACGGTTACACGAGCCCGCGTGTGTGCGAAACACGCCACCCTCACCCAGCATAGTTGCTGGTCTGCTGCTGATGCCGCCACCGGCGTTGGCCGTCTTCCGGTGCGAACCTAGCCCGTTCGACGCAGGCGTAAACACGTTAACGCTGCTGGTTTGATGTCTCCCGCGAGTCCTGCTGGTCGGTGATAACGCAAGGGTCGCCGACGCCTCGTGCCGCTGCTCCACCCCCGCCGCACGTGCACGCCGCCAACGGAGAAAAGACGTCACGAGGGTGTCGGTGCAGGAGGAGAAAGCCAGAACAAGGAGGTTGCTGTGGGTGTGTGTATCATGTGCGAATGTACTCTCCAGATCATACCGCGTAGTTGGGAGAAGACGTAAGGACTGTACATGAAGTCCCACAGGAATATAATGGAGCCGGTGTAGATGCACTGGTGCGTACTTTGATTGCAAAGTCGGTTTGCCTACATGTGGACGAAAATAGATCCGGGTGACACGCACCGAGTTTTCCCCCTGCCCTGTGTGTGCCAAAATGCGACTGTCACGACCAAGGCCTGAAAAAAACAGGATTGACCACTTCCAGCAAACTGAAAGATACAAGACAGGAGTACGGAGTACATCGCACGGCTTTGCAGCAGAGTATGATCGTTTGTAGGCAGGGAGCAACAGCAGTAGCCTGCTGTACAGCCGTATACCTACAAAGGTGAAAGGTGAGACGTAGTCTAACCCCCTTGAACGGTTTGGAAAGCAAAAAAGGGTGGTGGTGCCGAAAATGGCGACGTTGAAACCATCTTATCGGGGACTTTCTGACAACGCATCATAGAAAATGGCATCCTCCTCTTCGTGTTGGAGTACAACAGTGTAGTCTAGCGTTTCAAAATCGGTCCACGGGGTGTGTTATCTTCGCACTGCTGTACAGTCCAAACATTGGCCAAACATGGAGAACTTCAACCTTGCAGAACATCCAAATTGCTGTAAGGTGGGTGCCGGCTCGATCATTGCACCACCTTACCCATACCAATGTACTAATGTGTATATACCACCCATGTCGTTGCACTCACCGGGCGCAGGGCAATGCAGTGACTCAAAGATAAAGATTGCTGATGGGATGATGGGGAATGGGGGCTGATGAAAGGGTTTATGCAGAGTAAGCGCCCCGCAAGCAGGAACACGATATGAACCGTGATATTTCCGATCTTCATAAAGCCATGAGGCGTGCGGCGCCGTCGTCAACGCAGCGTAGAGAGATGGAGAGAGAGTGGGGTAAGAGGACAGAGGAGAGAGCACGAGGGCACGCAAGAGGCTGGGCAGCTGGGCAGCTGGGCAGCGAGCAGGGAGCTGCCGCTGTGGTTCGGAAAGAAGACTGAACCGAAACGCCTCCAGTGCAAAAAATAGTAATGAAACGGTCGATTCTGCCGCCGAGTGTCCAGCAGTCGCCCAGCGTCTATGGTCCATGACCTTATGGTGTAGACATAGACGTCATAGACCATAGCCCAGCGTCCAGCATCAGGTTGTCCCTCGACCCTCTCTGCCAAGACTTCAACATCCCTGCCTCAGGCGGGATGCTCTCTCGAATGAATAGTCTTGTTTTGATGTGCACTGGTATTTTTGTGCATAGACTAATTGCATAATAACTATGCACGTCAACGGTGCCGTCGTGCCTTATCTACAGCGTTCGCCCGATGACTGCTGTCACGCCTGTGTAACGCACGCAACGGGTGAGGGCTAAGATGACAGAATCAAACAGAACTAGGAGACGCGAGACGTCAATGAAACAACGTCTTCGGAGAGAACATGTCGGGCAACTGCTGTTGTTGGGTTCTCTTCGCGAGGCTCACACAGAGGGTTTTTCTTTCAGTCGAACTGCAACAGTGAAAACCACAGCAGCAGCAGGCTGAACCACAGCAGCAGCAGGCTGTGGAACAAGTGTATGCAAGCACACAGACCCAGACTGTACACACAGCAAATGCTGCAGCTTACAAGTCTTCTTGCTCAGCGCATGGATGGACGGATAGATGATAAAGTTGGCGGGCTCTTTATCTGCAAGCGACGCAGCTGCACCCACCATGTGCCGGTGAGGATTTGAGGCTACGCCGACACGCCATTTTTTCCGACGAATTATCGAATGGCTTCACATCCAACAAGCCATAGATGCGCCTTTTGGTCGGTGCCCGCCACACGGACTCGGCATTCTCTATATTCCGTTTTGACCGCTGATACGTGATGTTGTTGACGACTCAAGAAGGCACCCAGACCGACGAGGGCCCGCTCAACTTCCTGCTGAACATGATAAACATCAAAACGAACCTCAATTCTCATCCGACTTCTTCGCAAACCGTACTACAGCAGTAGGGAAACAAGAAAAATGAAAGGCACCTCCTTGCCCACCGCGGCGCATGGACTGGCAAATATTCCAATCAGCACTACTGGTTGTAGGCCCTCGGTTTACCCCCAACAACAGAAAGATTCTAGCAATTTCATGCAGTACCCCACGAACATGCAACATTTACGAGGAACAGCACGCCGAACACCAAACCTCAACAACAATAACGAGAAGAACAAGCCCAGAGAATCACCATGCCACTACAAACCACCCAACTAGAAGGAAGGACCGACGGAGAACACTCTCTTATCATGTTCCCTTGTCAAGTGAAAATGAATAGTCTATATCGTAGAGTTCATTTCTTGGACGCGGCGAAAACGGCGCAGAAGTCCTCGTCGCCGTGCTCCGGCCGCGCGCGCTTGAACTGCTCGTTGGCAGCCGACGCCACCGGAAGAGGCAGTCCCAAGCAGTCTCCCAAAGCCTGAGAAGGCGACAACAACAAAAAGAGAAGGAAACAAAGGAACCGCACCATGAGAGTGAAATGGCGTTGTGCTGACAACGCCTTCGCCGGCGGGGGGTTCGTTTGATGTAATTGTGGGGTAGGGTAACCGGCTGGACCGGGGCCACAAATAGTAGGACAGCCGACACAAACATGAAAGGAAACAACAGCAGTGTGGAGCCCTCAACTCTGGTTGAGCGGAGAGTCCGGAGTTTTAGGAATCAGTACAGTGAAGATCCTTGCAAGCACAGTGATCTACTGTCGTACATTTCACAGATCCATACCTACGCGTTATGTACGTGCCTGCTCGTCCTGGATACTCCATATCCTGACCTCCACAGTAACAACTAAGATAAACCTGAGACTTGTGCAATTTCAGAGGTGTGCCTGACAAGAGGCATCCCCTGTTGTAGAGGATTGACCGGGTGCTTGAGGGTTTGACATTGAAGCCCTCGGGTTATCATTCCACCAAAATAGAGGTTACCCATTCGTTAACGGTCCCGTCCCATCCCGCTCGGCTTTCTTTGATTCTGATTCGTTTTCGTCGTTACATTTCCGAAATCGGTCCCGGCAACCACAAAAGCTAGAAGCTCTGACGCAGTTGCCGCATACGAACCATGCAAAAGAAACCAGACAAACAATGCGCGTTGATTGGCATCATGTGTCTTGACCTCAACTCATTCCCCGACCCACTTGCCACGCGCGAAGCCTTGTGGGAATGCGGTACCTTCAGCCCTTCAAAATTTTACTCCTCGGCGTAGGTCGAGGAGGATGCATTTCACTACTACAACACCGACGCTGCTGATATTGCTCACCACGGCGAAGCGCATGTCCTTTTGTGCGTGCTTGAGCGGGAAGGCCGGGTCGAACTTTCCATCGAGGATGAACTGGCCCTGAGGGAGGAGGAAGAAGGAGGAGAGGGGAGAAGAGAGAAGGGGCAACGACACGAAAGCACGGCGATGGCCGAATAAACAAAAAACGTAACGAAGCACGACAAAGGAGAGGGGCGACTACGTCCATCTTGACGATGGTCGACAAATAAATAACATAAGCAAATGACACAAAGAGTTCAGCCGTAGGGACGGACGGGGGTAGATCGCCTTCTGAGCCGACCCTTCAGGGCGGGGGAGGACAAAAGCGTAACACCAACAACCGATGAGACGCGAAAAGCTTACACGATGTTAGGGAACGTCTAAAAATACAACCAATGACGAAGCGGTGCCAGGGTTTTGTGCACCAGAGGTGCATTTCTCGCGGTGGACGTCTACGTGTTTCGAAGTGCCGCATGTCGACCAATCTGACGGAGCGATGGTACATCCCTCTTGCACCATGGGGGGAACTGCAGCCAACACGCCCTCTTGTCTCTAGTCACATTCAACCAACAGCGGGTATGCAGAACGTAGTACTTGAGGAAGTCGAGCTCCCGACGTTTTCGGCAAAATATAAAAACTGAGGACAAACGTGCGAAAATTTGTCGACCAAACATACATGTACCTGGTAAAAAGGTATAATTTACACACGACTCATTTGTTACATCGCACCAACCACCACAGAATCGAGTACAGTTTGGGTCGGCAAAGGAGGCATTGGTGGGGCAGCTGAAAATAACCGCGCTATGCCTTGTTGTTAGCTCTGCGTCAGTCAACTTCATCCGCCATATACATATATGACCGCCGTACAATATTCGTCGGTACCTTCATTCTGAACATTGGGTTGGACATCGCCCCTTGGTCCAGCACCGTCAGAAGCTTGTCTGCCGGAAGGTCCGCCGCCTGGGCAAGCGCGATTCCCTCCGTCTGACACGAAAGACGACCGCGAAAGGAGACAAGACAAGTAGGAGAAGAGGGGAGGGGGGGCGTACTCATTTTTTGCATGCCTGAGCAGTTTCACCATTAGCCACGCGTCCTTCAAAGGACGGGGGAGGTGGAGGAGTACTAACTTGTTGCTCGTCTTGCGTGTCACCATACAGCTAACCAGACACTAGCCCTCGATGCGGGAAGTCATTCCCACTCCTGCGCCAAAGACGGCCAACGTCTGGGGGATTCCTCTTAGTCAAGAACAGTGTGGGGGAAATACCAGCGAGCGGGGGGCAGGGGGCAGGGGGGTGGGGTGTGTGTAAAGGATTGGTGCCAACACTCCAGAATATCAGCCTGGCGCAAGATTTCATCCTGGTAACCGTGTCGACGCGGCGATCTCATGCGCGGGCTTCCGTCCTCCCAATTCCTAGAGAGCGAACATGGAGATTCTACGAGCCACGCCTCCTCCGCGCCATGAAATTTCATCCTCGTTGACAAACCTAGAAGAAACACACCAAAAGTACAGAGAGAACGCAAAAACACGCTCGCACCCCTACCCTCCACACTGACAACCTTCATGGCCACGCACTCTCGACTCACCAAGCTGTTCATCATGGTGCCCATGGTCATGTTCACGACCAGCTTCATCTTGGAGCCCGTACCGACAGCCCCGAGGTAGTGCGCTGCCTTCCCCATCGTGACCCCGTCCCCCTCCATCGATCCCTTCACCCGGTCGAACAGAGCCTCATCTCCACCGCAGAGGAAAATCAAGGTACCCTGTGCGCGTGATGTTGGTTTTGGTTTCGTCAAAATTTGGCGGGGAGCGGGGTAAAGACAAGGAAAAAGGGTACGGTACCTGAAGGGACGGAACTGGAAGGGATGGGATGGGATGGGATGGAGTTTCCGGTGTGAAAACGGCGGCAACCGTGAGACTTCAACGCCTGGAGGCTGCCAGGCACAAAAGAAAGACACCACACTCGCTTCTTTGCCATGTACACGTCGAAGAGAAGGGGCGGGAGAGAGGTAAGAACGGGCTACAAACGTGAAGATGACAGCATGAAATTTGAACACCGCTCACCCCAGCGGCCTGGCCCTTGCTGCCCGACACGGGAGCCTCGAGGAAAACGCCGCCCTTCGCCTGGACACGCTCCGAGAGGCTCGTCTGATACAAGTACCAGTAGACATTTTGAACGAGGAGACGAAAAAATATTTAGCAGAAGGGGGATCGTGAAGAAGAGAGACGTCATCGAAAACACACAAGGACAGAGTACACAACAGGAGGCAGCACGGAGCTACAGGCAAATGCCAGAGGGAAATGATCGAAACTGTAACAAAAACAAAAAATATTATTCGGAGAGGACATAGGAATACGGATATATTATGAGGTGGAAGCTTGGCCGTCATCGAAAAAGGGCTGTGGTCCGAATGTTTCCCGAACTCCAGCAACCTAACCCAGGCAACTTGCACCAAACAACACGCAAAAATTGTGAGGCAGAGCCACACAGAAAATAACTCAAGCAACGTTTTTCCCCTCTGGAAAATGGTGAGTTTTTGGGCAGGACGTAAATAGTCACTTGCCAAGATTTCGAGAGATTTCCAGGGCTTCGACCAGAGTCTCTAGGGCTTGCTGCACGTTTCCACAACAGTTACACCCAGTCACAGATCGGCCAACGAAGGCTGGTGACCGAAGCTTCGATTTCGGGCCAGCAGTAGTCACCAAAACAGCTGAGGTGCAGTGGAATCAAGACGAAGCACGACCGGTCATGTATCCCCATGATTGAAACTGTGCGTTTTTCTACCATGGGGGAAAGGAAAAGGGGTTCGGTTATGACGCCGGCATACCATGGAGCGAGCTCTTCGAATCTTCTCAAGCTTGAGCACGTGGCCCTCGCCTTCCTCTGTGTGTGCTGCGTGGTTCCATACATGCCCTCCAAACAAGTGGTATCAGAACCGCCTGGCTAAGTCATCACGGCTCACCATGTGTTCTGGCGTGAGGGTGGCACAGTCGACGAGGCACTTTCCTTTCGACACTCCGGCCAACACCCCGTCCTCGCCCTCGTACACGGACCTGGTCTCGAGCGGTCGAAATGACAGCAAACACAAGAAGAGGAGTACGCCCAGCCGTCGGTGGTTGTAGTGGCCACGGCCGATTACGCAAGGACAAGCAAAAACCATATAGGAACGAGGGAGAGAGGCAGTCGTAGTGGTAGGAGGTCGCAACAGCATCAGTAGAAGCACTCTACATAGGTGCTTTTCTCATCTGCAGGATGTGGGGCGGGGTTGGCCTGGCCAAAGAAACCAAAAGGCGAACACGAGTACGAACACTCCACTCGCCGGCGCCGAATTCTGGGGGAGCGAGGACAGCTCCTTCAACTCTGCAATTCAGCTCCCGAGGGATGGGGCAATAGGCTCTACTTTCCACCTGCTCTAGGCTGTGGTTTTTTGTATTGTGAGATTTCAGCTTATTGGGGCAGCTACTTCTGGAGTGTCGGGGCTTTTCTGAGTTTCGACGATTGCCATGTGCTTTGTAATGGACTATGAACTTCGTTCCGTTTGACTTGAAGAGAACGCAAGATGAAGAGGTAAATGGATGAGGTCAAAACGGTTTTCAGTGCACAAAGACACCAACAGCAGCAGCAGCCACACATGCAAACGTTACAACCGGCCGTGGTGTAACATGCCAGGTCCATGTTCCATCGCTGTTTATGTTAAACATGCCAAGCTCGATCACTCACGGTGTTTGGACATTGACCTTCCACGACGGCATTCCTCTGTGCTATTACAAGTTACAAAGTGGGTTGCATATCAATGAAGGATACAAACAAATAACAGAATACCGTGGTCGAACATCCACCACATCGTGATCAAGGTGTCGACGCGTCGACGCTCATTTTGATGCGGGGTAAACCAGAGAGTAAACGGCCCGCGATTTTTTTTGTTGAACCCGACGTTCCCTGCAAAGTACACTGCCCGTGTCGAAGAACAACAAAGGATTACTACTTAACACTGCAGCAGTCGCACAACGCTGCTATCTACACTCCCTCCCTATTACATGCGCGCCTGTGATTATTGTGTTTTTCTCACTTAGAAGCCTCGAGGTCAGAGAGCATGAGGTAGGTTAGCTCGCACGATTCCACGACCTCCTTCGGGGTGGCTGCGGCGGAACATCCCTCGTGCTCGGCGACGAACGCCGACCGCTTGCCCTCGCTACGGTTCCACACCACCACCTTCGCGCCGGCTTTCGCCAGGTTGGAAGCCATTCCCTGGCCCATGATGCCTGCGGACGCAGTGACGCGATACGCGCGTACAAGGAGGTGCGCAACATGGCGAGAGGACAGGGTGGGATTTAGTGCGGAGTGTGACAACAGCAGTCAACCGGAAAGTACGAGAGCGCTGTATGGAGGCGTGCGCAGCAGAAGAACATTGCAAACCCAGTCCTGAGCCAAGTGTCGGACTCACGCGACAAGTTTGGCGGTGGTGTGATGACGTTGCATTCGCGGGCGAGTTGCGCGCGGCTCTCTCAGCAGCTGCTGCAGCAAGGGTGCCGCGTCATGCTCTCCAACATGTTCGCGTGTGCCGACACTAGAATACCAAGAGGAAATGCGAGCACAAGATCGCGCCGCCTCTCCTAGAAACTGCCAAACGTACTCACCCAGTCCGATGAATCCAACAGTTTCCGCCATGGTTTCTATCCTTTCCACGTGAGACAGAATCACGAATAGCCAGTTATGTCGACGCTGCTATGCTGCGTATGTGCTGTGTGCGGCGGATTGAGCGGGAAGCGGGAGGTTAGGGGGTGCCGCGGATAGAGGTTCACGCCTCTTCGCACTTTCAGGGGGAACGGGGGCGAGAGACGCCGCTCAATTGTTTTTTTTCTTCTCAATATCACACAGCAAAAAAACCATCTCTATCTCTAGAAAGAAGTCTAAAAGATAGATTAGCAATGAATCCATAGCGTGAGCGAAAAGCTACCTGTATGTCTACGGTTTCCCAGACAGCATACAACGATATCTCCCTTGTGGGTAACAGGCTAAACAAGGCAGTTTGGTAGCCATCTTGTGTATCTATCTGCATGTTATATTGGGAAGTTGTAGACGGAAGATTTAGGGGAACTCGGTTTGTCGGGTGTTCTATTATGGCACCCTTATGTGGTTGCGGAGCAAGCGCGTCTCGGGGTCGGGTGTAGATATTTTCGCCATCAACTTATTTTTTGTGTGTGATGTATGGGGGCATGTGCGGCGCGGGGGAACATATATTTATATATATATTTATCGTGTTGTTGTGGAAAAGAGGGTTTCGTCCTCGACTGACGTTGGGGAGTTTCAACCTTTATGAAGGTGTTCTCCACATACATTACCCCCCCCTTTTTCGAGGCTTCTTCTTGTTTGCTAGGCAAGAGCAGTCTTCTTGGGGTAACCGGAACCCGACCGGCTGGCGGCGAGTAGAACCACCTTTTTTCCAACAATCTTCTGTGNAGTTTCCGCCATGGTTTCTATCCTTTCCACGTGAGACAGAATCACGAATAGCCAGTTATGTCGACGCTGCTATGCTGCGTATGTGCTGTGTGCGGCGGATTGAGCGGGAAGCGGGAGGTTAGGGGGTGCCGCGGATAGAGGTTCACGCCTCTTCGCACTTTCAGGGGGAACGGGGGCGAGAGACGCCGCTCAATTGTTTTTTTTCTTCTCAATATCACACAGCAAAAAAACCATCTCTATCTCTAGAAAGAAGTCTAAAAGATAGATTAGCAATGAATCCATAGCGTGAGCGAAAAGCTACCTGTATGTCTACGGTTTCCCAGACAGCATACAACGATATCTCCCTTGTGGGTAACAGGCTAAACAAGGCAGTTTGGTAGCCATCTTGTGTATCTATCTGCATGTTATATTGGGAAGTTGTAGACGGAAGATTTAGGGGAACTCGGTTTGTCGGGTGTTCTATTATGGCACCCTTATGTGGTTGCGGAGCAAGCGCGTCTCGGGGTCGGGTGTAGATATTTTCGCCATCAACTTATTTTTTGTGTGTGATGTATGGGGGCATGTGCGGCGCGGGGGAACATATATTTATATATATATTTATCGTGTTGTTGTGGAAAAGAGGGTTTCGTCCTCGACTGACGTTGGGGAGTTTCAACCTTTATGAAGGTGTTCTCCACATACATTACCCCCCCCTTTTTCGAGGCTTCTTCTTGTTTGCTAGGCAAGAGCAGTCTTCTTGGGGTAACCGGAACCCGACCGGCTGGCGGCGAGTAGAACCACCTTTTTTCCAACAATCTTCTGTGCGTGTTGCGGGTGCGCCACTTCCGCCACGCATTGTTGCCAGAAGAAGTTTCGAGTTCGATAGACAGTGCATCGTTTCTTGGCCCACCCACCGTTTTTCTTTTTACGTACTCTGGAAGAAAATTAGGTAAGCAGCGGGTTTTGAACCCGTGTCTTTTGCAACCAAAAACAGACACGTCGACATCTCTTCGTTGACGCCATTGTGGAAAAGGGGGTTTCGTCCTCGACTGACGTTGGGGAGTTTCAACCTTTATGAAGGTATTCTCCACAGTGTTGTGTAATTTTTTGTATTTTTTTGTCTTCACTTCAAATCAGCGCTCACGCACAGCTCTGTCTGGTGCCGTTTACTCCAACCAGTGGTCACACAGAAGAACCCCTCTCTACCCTCCCCTCCTGCGGTGATTTTCCTTCGATTTTTAATGCGAGAAGAGTTCAGCACTCTCCTCCCTCTGTGTACACACGAACTAGCGCTATCCACTAGACCAGGAGCGGAAGCCCAGCCGAAGCCAGGATACCGTGGTATGCTGCATCTCCCAATTTGATAATCGTACACTCCCAGGATCCAACAGCCATCATGTCAGCAGCTAGATGACTCAAACAAAATAGCAATACCGTGTGTGTGTATGTATGGGTAGGGGGAGTACTCCCTGTGTCCGTGTTGTTCCCAGATGGTGTCGCATCAAGTGGCAGCATGTATGTGTCGTGGACAGGTAGACGTGGAAGGGCGGCGACACGTGAACGGCAGCAGCAGTATGTTGTGCTTGGTGGCATGTTGGGCTTGTAAAAAGACGCAGTCCATCTTAGACCACACACACATGAAGAAGGAGTTTGTTCGTACCTGTCGGAGTTTTGGAGGGCCCAAGTCTCATGTTAGATACACAACATATCCACTGAGCTAAACAGTCAGCGCTGACTGTTTAGCTCAGTGGATATGTTGTATATCCGAAGCGGTTCATCGGCTGAAAGGCGGGGATATGTGTCTTCATCTACCCTCAAACAAGACGCCAACTTCAAACGAAAACGCGTTCTACGATGCGTCTACACTCCATCCCCATATCATTGGCGTTGACTGGTTCGAGGTCGATCTTGTTCGCCTGTTTTCGGCGTCTTGACGCCGGCGCAATGCGAGCCTGTACCTCTGCACTCACCGAGATATGGCCACCTGTGTAGGATATATTTGTGTCTTCATCGTTGACGACTGGTGATGTGTACCATGCCTTTCAGGTGTGTATCCCAGACTTTTTTCTCTTTCCTAACAAAGGCGTCAAGATGGCTCCCAGAGGGTTCCAAACCCTGGTTGTACGTTCGTTAGATGTACAACATATTTATCCATTGAGCTAAACAGTCAGCGCTGACTGTTTAACTCACTCAGTGGATATGTTGTATATCCAACTAAATCTAACATCTCAAGCAGTAGTAGTAGGAAGGAGCGAACAGGCGCAGTGCTTCTCTACAGCCTTAGAATCCGTATTCCTCAAATCCTAACGGAGATGATTACGTATCGCACAACAACGGCTGGATCCGATTTTCCGGCTAGCTCCGAAAACCAGGAGAGGTGGGGGAGTAGCTCAGACGAATGGGTGCGTGTGTGCTCCTTCATGTGCATACTACTTGGCTGACTCTCCGAAGGGTAGAATTCTCGTTCGGCGGCATTTGGCGGCATTTCGGCATTTCCAGTATTTGCCATTTTCACCTGGATGCATGGGATTTTTTGCGAGGAAGTCGGTCATAACTTTCTCACTCTACGTGCAAGGGACACGTTTCATTTTCAGTGTTCCCCCTTGCGGTTTCGATGGTCAAATATGCGGTTGCCCACACATGTTTGCATCGCTACATACTATAACGTGCCTCTTCATTAGTTTTCATAGTGATATGATAGGCACATTATTTTCGTTGACAGGTTAGATGTAAACGTTAGAAAGTGTAATAATGTTGTTGGCGTTGAATTCCGCGTTGTTGTTGTTGCATCAATTATTTCATTGACCATGTCGCACAGTTGTTAGTTCTGATCATCATACATAATACAGTATTACTTTCACATTCCATTTTCACAGGTTGGCCATCTCCCATCCGATGCTAAGACCATTTATTATTTCTCCACCACGAAGTTCTTATCATCTACTACACGCTTCCAGATAATACCCGTCTCAACTCTAAGCCAGTACGAATTTCTGACTGTGGGTACATGTACGTTCCCAATGTTCATATTAGTAACCGGCGATGTGCAAAAAAACGTATACGAGAAATTATGCAAAGTGTTACGAATAAGTCTAGAAGAATAAAAGCGCGCAAGCATGTCGTCCATAAGTCTGGCCGTTGCTGCTTGAAAAAATCGAACATCAGTACATCTTATGGCAAATGGGCACATTTCACAATGTATGTTAGATGTACAACATATCCACTGAGCTAAACAGTCAGCGCTGTTAGATGTACAACATATCCACTGAGCTAAACAGTCAGCGCTGACTGCTTAGCTCAGTGGATATGTCGTACATCTAACAAAAGTACAACCAGGGTCCGATCAGCTGTTAGGCTGTCTGACTCTGGTTTTCCCCCAGGGTTGTAGATCTAATCCCTGTAATCAGCGCTGCCCCAAGCGATTCATCGGCTTACAGGCTGGGATATGTGTCTTCATCCTTGACTACCATGACTTTCACGTGTGTATCCCAGAGTTTTTGGATGTACAACATATAGACTATATCCACTGAGCTAAACAGTCAGCGACTGACTGTTTAGCTCAGTGGATATGTTGTACATCTAACAAAAGTACAACCAGGGTCCGATTCCCTCTGGGAGCCATGTTGACGCCTTTTTCCGGAAAGAGAAAAAAGTCTGGGATACACACCTGTAAATCATGGTACACATCATCACCAGTCGTCAAGGATGAAGACACATATCCCTGCCTGTAAGCCGATGAAGCGCTTGGGGCAGCGCTGATTACAGGGATTACAACCCCTGGGGGAAAACCAGAGTCAGACAGCCAAACAACAACAGCTGATCGGACCCTGGTTGTACTTTTGTTAGATGTACAACATATCCACTGAGTGAGCTAAACAGTCAGCGCTGACTGTCGCTGACTGTTTAGCTCAGTGGATATGTTGTATTTCAAACAAATGTAAAGTAGACATTTTACAACTTGTAGACAACAATGTCTCCCAGTGGGGGAATGCCCGATATTGCTGCAATAATGTAGCCATATGTTGGCGCTTATTATACATCCCAATATGCGTCTTACCCGGAATATCCTGCCCAATTTGTATATATATCCAGAAACTGTGCAGACTCCCAACACTGTTCTCGAGTAATACGAACGAACCGAGTTTTCCATCTCGTTTCCATCCGTGTCTAAAACCGTTACCGGGTACACACCACCATATTTACCACCGTCCTTACAAATAATATCTTCAAACGCTGACCCACTCTGGTCACCATATCGTAGAGTGAAAATGTCGTCTATGTACCGCTTTGTACCAAAACAAAA